CAACAATGTTTTGAATAGTGATATTAAGAGAATGTTGTGGTTAAAAAGTAGGAAAATATTTTGGGTACGTGCATAATATTTTATTTTGTGAATATGTGATTGAAAATGAGTACGTAGAAATTTTTTTTCTTTAAATAATGGTTGTCAAACAGGAGATTTCATTGTGAGGGTAAATTACTAGATTGCATATTCCTCTGTTAAAAGTTATTGGAGGAAGAATGCCGGGTGATACAGCCCATTTTGAGACCCGAAGATAACATTTCTCGAGGATTCTCACATATCGAGGACTCTCACATGCCTAGATTTCTCTTTTTGGTAATGTAGTCCTTGGGATTTGGGAAGTCATCGAGATGTTTTACTCGAGGACTACGGTTGTGGTTTCCCAACCTTTACTCGTTTGAGTCCTTGAATGTTCTTGCTCGATCACATTATTCAAGGTGAATCCTCGATCTCTTGAATTCACGGGAAGTCCTACTCTCCAAGGACTCTATGCCAACTATGATACCATTCATCATAAAATTCTATTACGAATAAGACATTCCTCCCAAACAGGACTCCATTGGATAAATACGTCCAATGGTACAATCCTACTAGGAGTACACTATCCACCCCTATAAATGCCAACCTTGGACATTATTCAGGTACATTTTCATTATTCTCCAGTTTATAGCCTCATGCACATAATTCCCTTTCTGACTTAAGTATCAAAGGGACGACGAGAACACACCTCGTTGCCTTTATTTCAGGTACCAGAAGACTAAGAGCATGCTCATCCAAAGTCCTCAAACTCGGAGAATCAACAAGTTCGATTTTTGGTAGCGTCATTTGTGCCGTCTGTGGAAAGCTCTACCAAAAGCCATGGTTAACACGCGATCAGATCTTCCTTCCGCAAGCTCATCCGCTCCCATCCCTCATCCTATTGAAGATCAACCGGCTCCTCAAGAAGAGTCGTTAGGAGTGCCCGCACCCCAGCTGGCGGTCGTCACAACTGAAGCCTTCGAAGAGCTTTATCAGTAGGTGGCGACGCTAACGCAGCTGTTAAGTCAAAGAAATTCTCATCCGTCACCGGTGCAGGCAGAGCATGGTGGTTTTATGATTGATGCTCAAGCCCGAGTACCAAACCCCGCAACTGGCGGAGTAGGGACCTCGGGTATTCGCAACATGGCTTGGGGCTCAAGATCTGTTGCTATGGACTCCGGAGAGATTGCCCAGATCATTGAAGAAGGAATTACAGCCGGCCTGCAACGGAATGCTCGGGGGCCAATGGGTTTTACCCCTGACACCCCATTCACGTAAGAGATATTGTCATATCCCCTGCCCGACAGATTCAAATATCCTCGAATCAAAGAGTATGATGGGACGATCGATCCAATCAACAATCACAATGTCTATATCGATGTCATGAACTTTCAAGTGGCGCCAGATCAAGTTATGTGCAAAGCTTTCCCGCAAACATTGACTAATGCTGCTAGGGATTGGTTCTCGACATTGGAGTCCAACTCCATAGCCTCATTCTTAGATTTGGCTGATAAGTTCTCAGCCTTCTTTGCAAGTAGCAAGCGAATCAGAAAGACTACATCCTCTCTCGTGCAACTTTGCCAGGGACCAAATGAAAGCCTATGAGAATTTATGACGAGGTTTAACAAGGAAAGACTTCAGATACCTGACCTTCACATTACGACGGCTATCTCCACCCTCACATATGCCATAAGGTGTGAAGCCTTCAAGATGTCCTTATGAAAGACCCCACCACAGCCAGTGATCGAGCTCTTTACCTGAGCTGAAAAATACATTAATATGGAGGAAACGCTGAATCCAAGGAGATCTGGTCCTTTTCATGAAAAGGTCGAGAACAAGAAGAAACATTATCCCGTTTTTCGGCCAGAGCATCCTCGGGACAAGCGCAAGAATGAAGGGCCACCAGGGCCTCTCACCCGGTTGAACACCTCCAAGGAAAATTTCTTAATGGAGATCAATGATATGAAAGAGTTGAAGTGGCCTTCAAGAATGAAGTTGCCCCTGACACAAAATATAGGAGCAAGTATTGTGAATTTCACCGAGATCATGGGCATACCATGAAAGATTTTCAAGCTTTGCAGCGGGAAATTGAAGCCCTCATTAAAAGAGGGCTCTTAAGGAATTACATTGGTCATGATAAATGCCCAAGGAATGACCGTGACAATCGGAAAGAGCCTGGAGCCGGAAGCAGTGCTCAACTCCCTGCCGGGACCATTAATATAATCATTGGAGGCATAGTATCTGGAGAAGACACAAGTAGTGGGCGAAAGTAATATGCTCACCAATATGCTCATACCTCAAAGGAATCCCATGATAAAGTCAAAGACATTATTTTTGGAGCAAGAGATTTCTAAGGAGTATCATATCCTCATGACGATGCCTTGGTCGTCTCTACAATTGTGGCTAACTTTGAAGTAAAGAGGATTCTGGTTGATAATGGGAGTGCAGCAAATATACTCTCACAGGAGGCTTTCACTAAAATGAGGATCTCTCCCAAACAGCTCAAAGCAGTAAAATCTCCTCTACAACCATTTGCTGGTGGAGTTATTATCCCGGAAGGCATGGTCAAGCTTCGGCTGACATTGGGTTCTGATAATGCACAAGTGACGACGATCACGCCTTTCCAAGTGGTTAACACTCTTATGGATTACAACATCATCT